ATTCCTGTAGGATTGGTCCAGTCTGAGCACAGCCAGGAAAACTGGTACCAATCCATCAGATTTATTGATCCTGGACCATTTGAGTCCATTCAGGGCTTGAAGCACGGGGATTTCCAGCTGGGAAGGGCTGGGTTTGCCCCTCTGGAGCCGCTGGCTGCTCCCCCAGGCAGTTCTGGATGAGGTCTGGGTACCTGCAGAGCCTCAGCCCTGCCCAGGCTGCCAGCCTGGATGATGGATGGCGATTCTGCACCTTGCAGGAGGCAAAGCTGGCCTGGATTTTGTGGCATCGGGTTTGCAGCTGCTGCCTGCACCTGGGAAGGGCAGGGAAAAGAACTTTGCTAATTTATTTAATTTTTTTCCCCTTTGTCTGCAAGGAGGGCGCAGCAATCTCTAGGCTTTAATGCCACCGTTCATCAATAGTAAAATCGCTGTTTAATCAGAATTGAGGGTGGGATGTAGCAATGAAAATGTGATTTTTTTTTTTTTTTTTAAAGGCATTTAAATTCTCATCGCTTTCCTTTCTTTCCTCTTTTTGCAGCCTCTTAATTAACCTTAATCCTGGCCAGATAATGTATGAAACCTCAAATATCAGCACATATTATATAATCCATAAATATCCCATCCCAGCCTCATTACAGCACCAGGATTAGGAAGGGGGAAAAAAAAAAAAAAGGGAGGGACAAAAAAAGTGCTAAAATTAATTTAACAAAATTGGAACCAGCCCTTAAAGGGATGGGAATTGCAACCTGAAGTTCCAGTTCTGCAGCATCACATCCAATTTGCCGGGTGCCTGCAGCTGATTTCTGTCAGGGTCCCAAATTCTGGGGATGCTTGAGCAGGGAGGGAAATCAGTCCCAAGGCTCCTTTGGCTGGCTGGGGCTCTGCGAGGATGAGTTTGGAGCTGAACTCAGAGCTCCCTCAACTTCTGCTGCTTTCAAAGCTCTTCCAGTTCCCAAAATCAAAAATCAAAAGTTAAAGAGTTTTAAAAGTGATGATGAGATCCATGCTCATCTTCCTGTGAGGGAAAAACTCACTGCTCTTTAAAAAGAAATGGGAGTTTTATTCGCCTTAACTTTCCTTAAACACCAACATTTCACTTTTCTCCAATTTTTATTGTTGCCACCTTTGATTGGTTCACTTCCTTCCTGCTTTAGATTGGGTATCTCCTTCAGTATTCAATATATATATTCAATATATATATTTAATAATATGTCTTATAATGAGTTCTTATATAATAATGTCTTATATTCAATATATAGTCAATATTGAATGTATAAATATTCAATATTGAATATATGTCCAATATTCAATAGTATGTCTTATAATGAATTCTCATGTCATATAATAATGTTTTATATTCAATATATATTCAATATGGAATATATATATCCAATATTCAATAATATGTCTTATGAGTTCTTATATAATAATATAATGTCTTATGTCAATATGTATCCAGCATTGAATATATATTCAATATTCAGTAATATAATTAATTCTTATATAATAATTTAATATCTCATGTTCAATTTAAATATTCAATATTATATATAATAATTTCATGCTTTATAATGAATTCTCATATTACATAATAAAGCCTTATAGTCAATACATATTTAATATTGAATATATATCCNCACAGCCAGGAAAACTGGTACCAATCCATCAGATTTATTGATCCTGGGCCATTTGAGTCAATTTTGGGATTGAAGCACTGGAATTTTCAGATGAAGATGTCACTGTGTCAGGTTTTGGGGTCACTATCCACCCTTCTGTGGGTGTTTTTTTTCCCCAGAAGAGTGATTTTATCACCTTGTTGTTGTTAAAAATTCCTGTAGGATTGGTCCAGTCTGAGCACAGCCAGGGAAATTGGTACCAATACATCAAATTTTTTGGTCTTGGACCATTTGAGTCAATTCTGGGATTGAAACTGGAATTTTCAGATGGAGAGGTCACTGTGTCAGCTTTTGGGGTCACCATTCACCTCTTATGGGGTGTTTTGTCCCCAAAAAGGGGTAAATTTATCACCTTGTTGTTATTGCTCATTCCTGTAGCATTGGTCCAATCTGAGCACAGCCAGGGAAATTGGTACCAATACATCAAATTTCTTGGTCCTGGACTGTTTGAGTCAATTTTGGGATTGAAGCACTGGAATTTTCAGATGGAGATGTCACTGTGTCAGGTTTTGGGGTCACTATCCACCCTTCTGTGGGTGTTTTTTTTCCCCCAAAAAGAGTGATTTTATCACCTTGTTGTTGTTAATAATTCCTGTAGCATTTGTCTAGTCTGAGCACAGCCAGGGAAATTGGTACCAATACATCAGATTTATTGATCCTGGATCATTTGAGTCAATTCTGGGATTGAAACTGGAATTTTCAGATGGAGATGTCACCGTGTCAGGTTTTGGGGTCACTATCCACCCTTCTGTGGGTGTTTTTTTTTTCCCCAAAAAGTGATTTTATCACCTTCTTGCTGTTAATAATTCCTGTAGAATTGGTCCAATCTGAACACAGCCAGGGAAATTGGTCTTGGTCTTGGTCTTGGTCTTGGACCATTTGAGTCAATTCTGGGATTGAAACTGGGATTTTCAGATGGAGAGGTCACCGTGTCAGGTTTTGGGGTCACTATCCACCCTTCTGTGGGTGTTTTTTTTTCCCCAAAAAGAGTGATTTTATCGCCTTGTTATTGTTAAAAATTCCTGTAGGATTGGTCCAGTCTGAGCACAGCCAGGGAAATTGGTACCAATACATGAAATTTCTTGGTCCTGGACCATTTGAGTCCATTCTGGAATTGAAGCACTGGAATTTTCAGATGGAGAGGTCACCATGTCAGGTTTTGGGGTCAGCACCCACCTCTCTGGGGGTGCTTTTTCCCCAAAATAGAGTGATTTTATTGCCTTGTTATTGTTAAAAATTCCTGTAGGATTGGTCCAGTCTGAGCACAGCCAGGAAAACTGGTACCAATCCATCAGATTTATTGATCCTGGACCATTTGAGTCCATTCANCCTTCCCTTTTTCCTTCCCTTTTTCCTTCCCTTTTTCCTTCCCTTTTTCCTTCCCTTTTTCCTTCCCTTTTTCCCTTCCCTTTTTCCCTTCCCTTTTTTCCCTTCCCTTTTTTCCCTTCCCTTTTTCCCTTCCTTTTTTCCCTTCCTTTTTTCCCTTCCTTTTTTCCCTTCCCTTTTTCCCTTCCCTTTTTCCCTTCCCTTTTCCCTTCCCTTTTTCCCTTCCCTTCCTGCAGCCTCAGGTGAGGTTTGGTGGCTTCAGGTGTCACTCACAGCCAGGGTTTGGGCTCAGCACTGCCTTGTGTTGGGGTGTGAATTATCAGTCTCAGGTTCTCACCTCCAATTGCCTTTATTGAAATTTTAACAGTAAAACCTGTGCAGGAAGAGCCCAGTGCCCAGCACAACTCATGAGATTAAATTCAAACGTTTTTCGGGGTGCACTGACAGATTTACAACTTAAATGTTGTGCTTTGAAACAATTTCAGGCATTTCATATCAAGGTAATATAGTTTGGCCCGAAAAACAAATGTTTGCAGTCTCATTCATTAATTACCATTATGAGAGATCCAAGCTCAGAGCTTTCCATGTTCTGATCCAAATCTGTTTCCCTTGGCCTCATCTCAGCGCTGTAAAAATGACTTTCCATCTCTGCAGTGCCTTTTCCTGTGGCATTCTGGAAATAAAAATTAATTAACCCGTAATGCAAATTTGCCAAAGCTGGGGAAAGGAACCCCTGACTCTTCCAAAGGTGTTGCTCTGCATGAAGGTCTGGGCAGGAGGAAGCTCCTGATGGTGCTGCCACGCTCAAAAATGCACCTTTTAAAGGGGTTTTAGTAATGCTGTGTGGGCAAAGTGAGCATTCAATATTATTCCCTTCCACAGATGGAGAAAACAGTCACCAAGTGACTAAATAATTTGCTTTTAGTCACATGGAGAAGAACACAGCGTTCCTCAGCCGAGCCACGTGATTTTCTTGTTCCTCTCCTGCTTTCTCACCATGGAATGGGGAATCTAAAGGTCTGGCTCTCTGTATTTTGCAAAAAGGGAAAGATCTGGGCCTCCTTTGAGAGCCCACAGCTCCCTTGCAGCGAGCTGTGCTCATGTCCTGGCTAAATTTCAATTTGCCAAGGTATTTTGGATTTTTCTAAAATTACGCTCCGGCTGTGCACGACTCTTCCTCCCTGCCAGGTTCAAGTTCACGTTGAATGTTCTGGGTTTTAAAAGGCTCTGGATGGTTCCACCATCCAAAGGTTTGCTTTGCAAAGTTCAGATTCCTATTTTAAATCTGGATGGGAGAGTCTGAGATGGGTGTGGGGCTATGGAAATGCCACCAAGCCGCTGTCTTGCCCGTGTCAAATTATTTTTATTATTATTGGTACCAATAATAAACCTATTGCAATTGTTATGTAATAGCACCTCCAAACTTCTTTTGGAGTGTGGTACCTTGCAGAGGATTCTTAATTTTCTTTTTTTTTGTTGTTGATTTTTCCCATACAATCTCCAATTGAAGTTTTAGTGATTTCAACTACTTAGAGAAACATAAAATTCTGTTTTATCCAGGTTTGGGCTTTTTTTAATGCGAAAACAGAGACTTGTAGGCAGCAGTTGAGATAATTCCCCACCCTTCCTGGGTGTATTCCTGATAAATACATGGTGGGGAGGTGATTCCTGAATGAATAAATAAATTAATCCCAGGAGGAGAAAAGGTATTGTCACAGAAAGGCTGAGAGGAATTTTGTGATCACAGAATCCCACACTGGTTCGGGATGGAAGGCACCTCAAAAATCATCGATTTCCAACCTGCTGCCATGGCCAGGGATATATTTTGATATTTAAGGATGTGTTAAAACCACTTTTGGGGCTGCCCTTGCTGTTGGTGCCTCTCCCCTTCATCCCCACTCCTGCTCTCTCCTGAGCACAACGTGCCTGTTAAAATTCTCCCTGGCAATGTGAAAACAGCAGAAAAACCATCCTGGCGTGTTCTGGAGCATCCACCCAGATTTTCCAGGGAGAAAAGAACCCTGAAGGGGAAAAGCCATGGGCAGGCTGGGGCTGGAGGCGGCGTGGGAAGGGTTAAGGATTCCCGGGCTGGCTCTGATGTGCTTTCCAGGTAATCAGGATAAAGCCAAGCTCATTATTAACGGGATGAGCCGGGTGTAAAATACCTCGAGCAGGGGGTGGTTTCTTGGAGAGCAGAGCGGGGGAAAGGGGGGTTTATTTTGATTTTTATTGGTACCAACAACAAACCCGTAGCAATTGTTATGTAACAGCAGCTCCAAAGTTCTTTTGGAGCGTGGGACCTCGCAGAGGATTTGTAATTTTCCTGCTGTCAGCAGGGCTGGGGCTGCCTGTGCTCATTCCTTGTGTCTGTGCAGAATCGATCCGGCCGCTCAGACATCCTGGGTGTGGTGGAGTTGTGGTTTTATTTTTTTGCTAAGCTGATCCTTGTAAGTGGCTGAGATTTATTTATTTTTTATTTTTTTAATTTTTATTTATTTCTTTTCCCCCCTTCTCCTTTCTCTTCTTCTCCTCCTCCTTCAAATGGCTGCCTGGCTGGAGGAGCTTTTTTGTGCTTTGCATCTTTTGTGATTGGGGAAGGTGTAGGTTGGATAGGGGGAAGAAATTTTTCAGTGAAAGAATAATAAAGCGCAAAGCATAATAATAATAATAGTAATAGTAATAGTAATAGTAATAGTAATAATAATAATAATAATAATAATAATAATAATAATAATAATGCTCTTCCCAGGTAGGTGGTAGAATCGCCATCTCTGGATGTGTTTAAAACAGACTGGCCATGGCACTGGGTGCTATAGTTGAGGTTTCAGGGCATAGCTTGGGCTCAATGATCTTAGAGGTCTCTTCCAACCTCATTTTTCTGTGAATATTTTCTGTATTTCTGTAGCTGAAATTCTGGGATTGGGCATCCCAAGCTCAGGTTTTCCATCCCAGCCTTCCCTCCGTGTCTGCAGCTCTCCAGCTCAGCCCCTCCTCAATATCTCGAATTTCAACCTTTGCAACTCCTCATTTTCATGCTCTGCAGGGACTTTTACAAGAGGTTTGAGCGATTATAGGGAAAGAAAGGTTATTCCCTTTAAAATGAAAGTATTGGAGGGGAAAAAAATAAAATGCTTACAAGTGCACTACAAGTAAGGATCATGTTTCCTAGCAAGGTATAAGTGCTCATTTGCTTTATAGTGCTCTCAAACCTGGGTTAAATCCTCCTGAATTGGGTGTTCAGCTGAAGACAGGGCTGGCTGATGATACATCTTCCAGTTATTGCAAAATAGGAGTTTTGGTCATCTTCCTAAAGGGGAAAAAAAACAAAAAAAACCCAAAAAAACCCAACAAAAAAACCCCTAAATTATTTACATTTTGGGGTTTTACAGCCCTGCCAGTGGGATGTGCAACACAGGTCACAGTGGGGTTTTTTATTTTATTTTTAGGGTGCAGCCTTGGGATCAGAACTGTGAGATTTTTTAATTTTAATTTTTTTATTTTCTTTATTTTTTAGGGTTCAGCCTCAGGGTCAAAGCTGTGCTGAGCCTTTCTAAATTCTCTTTTCTTTGTGAGGGTTTCCCACAGTGAAATTCTCCTTGCCCAGGGTGATGCAGGGCTCTCTGCTCTCACTCACTGTGCCATGGGGAAAGGAAGATGCTGGAATTCTCCAAGGAATGTGGAGATTGTGCAAAAGCAAAATGGAATTTATTCTTTACATTAAATCTTTGCACACTTGCAAAACCCTGATGGTGAGCTCAGCTCAATAGGAAAATTCCCTGGCCAAAATAGATTTTAAAATTTTTCTTTAAAATATTTCATAATATTCTTTATTTAATACTATTATTCTTTATTCTTTCTTAAACAGGAGCTATAAGAGGTTTCCAATATCTGGAACCCATCAGCTTCTGGAGGTACCTGATTGTTATTAATTTAAGGCTGCCCAACAAAATTCTGCTCTTAAAGACCAAGAAAATTTGCTCAATAATGGCTTTTTTTGTCTTTTCTGTCACCTCTAGATCCTTGCATAAAGAAAAGGCAGTTTTCTGTGCTAAAAAACTCAATTATTACCAATGTCACACTTTTAAAAAAAAACAAAGAAAAACCCGTCCAACATTTCCTCCTGGATTTTCCAACCTCTTGGCCACCTCTCCTCTTTCTCCTTGCCTGACTTTGCCCTGGTTAATATTCCAACAGGTGTTTCCTTTTTCAGTGGAATTTTTTAGGCCCTGTCTCGAGAGGCCTCCTGCATAATAATGCTGTGTTCATTATGGGCCTGCCTTGCTGGGAGAGAACTTTATTTTCTTAACCCCACCATTTCCCCTCCGTGCAGGAGGGGCAGGCTTGGGCAT